ATGTCCCCCATGTCCCCCATGTCCCCATGTCCCCAATGTCCCCCATGTCCCCCATGTCCCAATGTCCCCCACATCCCCCTGTGTCCCCAATGTCCCCCACGTCCCCGCCGTGTCCCCAATGTCCCCCCTGTCCCCCAGGCAGGTGCCGCTTCGCCCTGGGCATGGAGGACGGTTCCATCCCCGACAGCCGCCTCTCAGCCTCCAGCGCCTGGTCTGACTCCACCGCCGCCCGCCACGGCCGGTGAGCCCAGTACGCACCAGTATACACCAGTACACACCAGTGTGGCCCAGTACCCCCCTCTCCCTGACCCAGCATCCCCTCCCAGGGCCCTCCAGTGTCTCCACCCCAGAACCACCACTGCCTGCTGTGGCCAAGGAGTCTCAGTATGGCCCAGTACGGGCCAGTGTCCCCTCCCAGTGCTGTCCTGTGTCACCAGGGTCCCCTGAGTGTCCCCAGGTGTCCCCATGCCCCCATGTCACTGGGTGGCCCCACAACGTCCTTGTGTTTCTCCAGGTGTCCCCAGGATTTCCCCATTTGCCCAGCGTCCCCATGTTCCCCAGGTGTCCCCAGGTACCCTGGTGTCCCTAGGATGTCCCCATGTCCCCTGGGTGTCCCCTGGTGTCCCTAGGATGTCCCCATGTCCCTTGGGTGTCCCCATGTCCCTGGGTGTCCCTAGGATGTCCCTATGTCCCCTGAGTGTCCCCAAGTGTCCCTAGTATGTCCCCATGTCCCTGGGTGTCCCTAGGATGTCCCTATGTCCCCTGAGTGTCCCCAGGTGTCCCTAGCATGTCCCATGTCCCCTGGGTGTCCCCCGGTGCCCCCACATCCCCAGGACATCCCCATGTCCCCAGCCTGGGCCACAGCGATGGGGACAGCACCCGGTGCCCCCAGGTGTCCCCACGTCCCCGGTGTCCCCAGGACGTCCCCGTGTCCCCAGGCTGGGTCGCAGCGATGGGGATGGCGCCTGGTGTCCTGCGGGTCCCGTCTTCCCGGAGGAGGAGGAGTTCCTGGAGGTGGACCTGGGCCGGCTGCACGTGGTGACACTGGTGGGGACACAGGGACGTCACGCCGGTGGCCACGGCAGGGAGTTTGCCCGTGCCTACCGGCTGCGCTACAGCCGTGACCGGCACCGCTGGCTGCGCTGGCGCGACCGATGGGGCACTGAGGTGACCGGGGACCTTGGGGACATCTTGGGCACCTTGGGGATGTTGGGGTGCTGAGGTGACCAGGGACCTTGGGGACATCTTGGGGACATCTTGGGGACCTTGGGGATGTTGGGGTGCTGAGGTGACCAGGGACCTTGGGGACATCTTGGGGACCTTGGGGATGTTGGGGTGCTGAGGTGACTGGGGACCTTAGGGACACCTTGGGGACCTTGGGGATGTTGGGATGCTGAGGTGGCCGGGGACTTTGAGGACCTTGGGCATGTTGGGGTGCCATGGGACACCTTGGGGACACTTCGGGGACATTGAGGTGCCACGGGGACATGGGATTCCTTGAGGACACTTTGGGGATGTCGGGGTGCTGATCCCTCGGATCTCCGGGAGGGCACTGGGATGCAAGAGAGGACAGTGGGGGATGAGGTTGTGTTGGTTGGGTTTGTTGTGTTGGTGAGGTGACCGGGGACCTTGGGGACACCTTGAGGACCTTGGGGATGTTGGGGTGCTGAGGTGACTGGGGACCTTAGGGACACCTTGGGGACCTTGGGGATGTTGGGATGCTGAGGTGACCGGGGACTTTGAGGACCTTGGGCATGTTGGGGTGCCATGGGACACCTTGGGGACACTTCGGGGACATTGAGGTGCCACGGGGACATGGGATTCCTTGAGGACACTTTGGGGATGTCGGGGTGCTGATCCCTCGGATCTCCGGGAGGGCACTGGGATGCAAGAGAGGACAGTGGGGGATCCTGGGGCGTCCCTGGGGACACCGGGATCCCGGGAGGGTGGTGGGATTCCTGGGGATCCCTGGAAGGGCAGTGGGATCTCAGGGGACAATGGGATCCTTGGGAAATCCCAGGATGGGCAATGGGATTCCTGGATATCCCCAGGACTCGCTGGGGACACTGGGATCCTGGGGGGGTGGTGGGACCCCTGTGGATCCCTGATAGATTCCTGGGGATCCCTGGGAGGGCAGTGGGATCTCGGGGGACAGTGGGATCCTTGGGAGATCCTGGGGGTCAAGGGGATCCCCGGGGATCGCTGGGGACACTGGGATCCTGGGGCGGTGGTGGGGTCCCTAGGGATCCCTGGGAGGGCAGTGGGATCTCAGGGGCAATGGGATCCTTGGGAGATCCCAGGAGGGCAATGGGATCCCTGGGGACCCCTGGGCTCATGGGGGGCCAGGAATCCCATGGGATCACCGGGGTCCCCGGGGAGGTCGCCGGCGGTGGGATCCGTGTCCCCCGGAGATCCCAGCGGATCCCGGTGCCGCAGGTGATCGGGGGTAACGAGGACCCCGAGGGGGTGGTGCTGAAGGACCTGGCACCGCCCCCCGTGGCGCGGGCGCTGCGCGTCTACCCCCGGGCCCCCCGCGCCATGAGCGTCTGCCTGCGCCTGGAGCTCTACGGCTGCCCCTGGGACGGTGAGTGGCACCTTGTCACCCCCCCCGTCACCCCCTGTCACCTCCATCCCACCCCATCACCCTCCCGTCATCTCCCAGTGTCACCCCATACCCAGCCCTAAGGGTGTCCCCAGGGTGGCGGTCCCCCATCCCCACGTCCCCCACCCAACCCCGTGGTGGCCCCATGGTGACGTGTCCCCTGTCCCCAGCCGGGCTCCTGTCCTACACAGCGCCGCGGGGACAGGTGATGGCCCTCGACCCCGCGCCCGTTGTCCTCAACGACTCCACCTACGATGGATACAGCATTGGCCCGTGAGTCCCCAGATGTCCCCAACTGTCCCCAAGGGTCACCTGCACCAACCAGCCCCAAGAGCTCCCAAATTGGCCCCAGATGGCCCCAAACCATCCCCAAGTGTCTCCAAACTGTCCCCAGACTGTCCCTGGACCTCCCCAGATGTCCCCATTGGTCCTCAAGCTGTCCCCAAGTGTCCCCAACCAGCCTTGGCCATCTCCAAGTGTCTCCAAACCATCCCCAAGTGTCCCCAAACTGTCCTCAACCATCCCCAACTCTCCCCAAACTGTCCCCAGGTGTCCCCAAACTGCCCTTGGCCATCTCCAAATGTCCCAAACATCTCCAAACCGGCTCCGACTGTCCCCAAATCATCCCCAACCCCAAAGTGTCCCCAGATGGTCAACGACTGGCTCAAAACGGCTCCAAATTGTTCCCAACTGTCCCCAAGCAGCCCAAACTGTCCCCAAATTGTCATCTGTTGGCTCCAAACAGCCCCAAACTGTCCCAAAACAGCTTCAGACCATCCCCAAATTGCCCCATCTGGCTCCAGTTGTCCCCAGTTGACCCCAATGTCCCCAACTGTCCCCAAAACAGCCCCGAATGCCCCCCAAATTGTGCTCTAGATCCCATGGCGGGGGTCCCAGGTGGGTGGCATGGAGGGACCCAGGCGTCCGGGTGTCCCCTGTTCCCCCAGGCTGCCCCACGGAGGGTTCCCAGGTGGGTGGCATGGAGGGGCCCAGGTGTCCGGGTGTCCCCTGTCCCCCCAGGCTGCAGTTTGGGGGGCTGGGCCAGCTGGCGGATGGGGTGCTGGGCCTGGATGACTTCATGAGGAGCCGCGAGCGGCGTCTTTGGCCGGGCTACGACTACGTGGGATGGCGCCGGCCCCCCGGTCCCCAACCCCACGTGGAGCTGGAGTTCGAGTTTGAGAGTCTCCGGACCTTCCGCGCCATGCAGGTGCCCCGCGGCATGCTGGGATAGCAGTGGGGTGGGGGTCCCAGGGCATGGTGGGAGGTTGGGAAAGGGGGTGCCCTAGGGCATCGTGCAGGGGGGCTGGAGGAGCAGGGGATGGTGGGCAATGGGGTGCCCCAGGAGATCATGGGATTGAGAGCAATCGGTGGCCCAGGGCATCATGGGAGCGAGGGCAATGGGTGGCCCAGGGCATCATGGGGGTTTGGGCAAGGAGTCTGCCTCAGGAATTGTGGGATTGGTCAGCCATGGCATGGGTCCATGAGGAGCCACCACATCAACCCCACCTTAGGGTCCAGAGCTTCCCATTGGAGACCCTTTGGCTTAGCGCCCCCCGCCAGCTGCCCCAGGGCATCATGGGAAGGTGGCCAACACCCATCACCCCCCAGGTTCATTGCAACAACATGCACACGCGGGGGGTGAGCATCTTCGGGGAGGTGGAGTGCCGCTTCAAGAGGAACCTGGCCACAGCCTGGGAGCCCACCCCGGCCACCCACAGCCTGGCTGGGGCCGTCAAGGACCCCAGCGCCCGCTCGGTCACCGTGCCTCTGGGTGGGCGCCAGGCCCGCTTCATCCAGTGTCACTTCTTCTTTGCCGGGGAGTGGATGCTCTTCAGTGAGATCACCTTCCTCTCAGGTGGGTCCTACCATGCCAGGTGGCCTCCAGACCCACCTGGGCCTTGGCAGCCTCCCCCAGCAGATTGGCTCTTGGGTTCAATGGTTGGGTGATGGGGTGGTTGGGTGGGTGAAGGGGTCATTGGTTGGATGATGGGGTGGTTGTTTGGGTGATGGGATGGTTGGTTGGGTGAAGGGGTGGTTGGTTGGGTGAAGGGGTGGTTGTTTGGGTGATAGGATGGTTAGTTGGGTGACGGGGTGGGTGGTTGGGTGATGGGGTGGGTGGTTGGGTGATGAGGTGGTTGGTTGGGTGAAGGGGTCACTGGTTGGGTGAAGGGGTCACTGGTTGGGTGA